AAATGCTTAAAATGCATTCCACCAAACTTTTGAAAACAGCTTTACTTATCGATGGAGAAATTATTAGTTCTGTTGGTAACCAATATGTGTATGGTTTTCTCAAAAAATGTGGACTGTACCCTGATATTCGGCAGCATAACAAATATGAACAAGTATTAAGTTAGATTAGGGTGCGATTCTAAGAAGTTGGGATTTAATCAAGCGATATTAAAAAAAAATAGCTTGTTTACAATAGCTATCTGGTCAAAATTTAAACCAAAAAGTCACTAATGTTTCTTTAATGCGATAAAGAAACAATTCCATCCTAATAGGTGTCATCACCGAACACTGTCTTATAAGATGAGTGCGGGTTTTACATCGAATTATTTTACAGCGCCAGTAGCAATGAGGCGGAATAATAATATCATTAACTAATAAATAACTCGTATACGTTGACAGAATATGTTCTAAAACGATTAACATACTACAAACATTTAATAGATGATATGATTAGTCGGATTGTGTACTAATTTAGTTTAACAGTCAGTTTCCAAATTAAAGAAATCGACATCCGCACACACCTGCCTATCTATCTCTACTTTTATCAATTTTGTAACAATTTCAATCTATCACTGAAGTAGTTCCTAAAAGCTAATAGATTCAGTTTTTAAGATAGTTTCAATTCATCTTTATAACGATTACAGAACTTATTCTGTAAAATTCATACATTTTATCTACGGACAGATAAATTAACTTATGTCTAGAAATGCAAATATCATCAATTTTGAAAGTTTCATAAAATTATTTATCTAACAAAACAACACTTTTTAGTATATTCTTTGTTTACTTAATATAGATTATTACATTCTGTTATCTTTTCATTAAAGTTCAACTATTATTTACCACCTTTAACCGTGGGAAAATCATTAAATACATATTTATTTGTATCAAGTACTCAGTACATGTCGAAAATGAACAATATTGGACTTAATTTGATATACCGACAGCTGTAGTTTATCATTTATAGCAGTGATTGCGCTTGACGCAATATTACAAAATACTCAATGATAGTTGGCAGTGTGGTTGTAAAAGGAATAATTTTTTTTTTGATGTTCTATTTTAAGCCTTATCAAAGCACCATTAAAGCAAACTGATTACTTTTCCGAAACACTTTTATGAAGATATGGGCCTTTTAAGGAGTCGGAGAGGATTGGGGAAAATGGAACAAAACGCCTCTAATTTGTGCTAAGGTGTCGATTTATGCCCGTGATAATAATCGTTTTCATTATCACTAGTAACTACATACAAATCGCAGAACTGACTTGTTGCTTTTTACTTTGTTTACTTTTTTGCATGATTTTAGGTTTGTTGACCAGCATTGCGTGACTATGAATTACGCCAACAGACTCAGCGCCCGAATCGCTCTGGACTTTGGTCGCATGCTTTATAAATTAGTTTGACTAAAATAAACCAATTGTTTGTGTTTTTATTTATGCGATTTTTTGCACATTTTTTGAATGAAACGCGTAGGCTAAAAAAATTTATATTTTGGCTTCGACATTGCGGTTTTAATATTTTTTTTTTGTTTTTATCAGATGTCTAAATTAAAAATTTACTTAGTTTATTAAATGGAAAATTTTTAAAATTCATTTTTAAGTGAAAAGAAAAAATATTATTCTGCACACATGCAAACAATAAAAATTAAAGACTGTGAAAAAAAATTTCGGGTCGTTTTTAATAATAATAACATTATATATGGTACATATATTTACACTTAGAAAGGTAAGCTATCCACAAGTAAACTCAAAAAAACAATACAATTCTACAATGTGAAGTTGTACAACATATTGGATACATGATTTTAGTCGGTTTATCTTGGAAATTCATATAGAACATGAGCTGTCGCAATTTGTTATAAATTGATGCAAACTCTCAATTGAGTCTAGAAAATAAAACTCTAATGTACAAAGTGATGCTAAATCCGATGTGGAGATATATCAAAAATTTTGAGACACTGCAAGTACCTCTAAAATAAAAATATTGCAAAGAAATCACTCTAAAGCGATTAGGAATAATATCAATGATCCATGGTACGGAACGAGTTACGCTATATATCAAGACCTTAGCTTGCCTTTGGTAAAGAACGAAATTCCTAAATTTAGCAAAAGAAAAAAAAAAACAAATAAAAAAAAACAAATAAAAAAACCAATAAAAAGGTATATAAAAATAGGTAGACATTTTAATGAGCTAATAGTAAACCTTCGAGACAATAGCTGGTTTGCATATATGTTGAAAAAGTTTCAAGTTATAGATGTTGTAGATAAATACAAGTTAATTGTGTTTATATAATTGTTATTATACAGGTCTTAATGATATGGTCTTAATGAAGTCAAATGGAAATCATTTGCCTTCTGCGAAAAAATTGGCTTATTGTAAAAGCGGATAACATCTGTCTTGATTTGTATCTCTCTATATCTTAAGATCTCTTCATATGATGCACCACTTAAAGATTGCAATTTTCTCATGCACAATAATAGCTTAAGTTCAAAAATTATATTTATGTGTAAATATAAAATATAATTAAAATGAATTTTCATATAATCACAATAATTTATCATAATCACAAAGTTCAATGTTGATCTCTCATACAATATATAGTACTTTCATAATGCTTGATAATAATGTGTACTTTTAATTAATATTAATTATTATTGAATCAATTCTTAATTCTGAATTCAGTTCTTTTTTTATTAAAAATGCGTTATTAGTTATAACATAGATAAAAAAAAAGTAAGTAAATAAAGTAGTTGTACTTTATAACTTTACTTCCAACCTTAATCGTTGAGTGTCAGTGAATCCTGAGCGCATTCACAAATTGATTGGTATTTTAAACGTAAGAGCTAAAAGTGAATGATTTTTAAATCATTTACGAAAAAGCAAATGCTCAAAAATACAAAAAGAAATTTACAGAGCTAATCGAAATGAAAGTAAAATATTTTTCTTTATCATTATGCTACCTACAACATGCAACATGCAACATGCAACACTGATGCAATTGCAAACAAAATAATGGTTTTTGAGTCCCTGAAAGTTTGAATATAAAAACTGAAGTCAATTATTATAACTTCAGATACAGTTCGTAAGAGAAGTTCAAATAAATCAGTTTGCTTTTTCTGTTATATGTAAATATTGTGCTACAATAAACGAATAGATTTTGAATGCATGAAAGCTTGTACTTAGAAAGTAACATGTAAGATATCTGACGATTGTAAATTGATGAATGAAAATAAAATAGATTGAAAAATGTGTGACTTTTAAAATGTCTTTACCATTTAAATTGAATATAAACTTATTTACGAGTATAGAGTTTTTCAGTGTTGAACACTTTTTCTCAATAATATTTGGTGATCATATTTAGATATATTATATATCCAAGTGCCGTCTCTGAATTGGAGAACATATTTTTAAGAATTTTGATTTTTAAAAATACCAACTAATTCCCAAACAAAATTTTCCACTGAATTAAATTCAATTGCAATGTTTTCAGTTATTTCACTTGAGTCCTATTATTCTAACCAAGTGCCACTTAAGAGGCAACAATGAACTCTTTGAGCTTTGCTGGAAGTGCAGTTATCAGCATTACGAAATAGTTTTCTCGTGTTGAAAAGCGCTATGAACTCAAACAGATTGTGTAATAATTATGTAAGTTCTTCTGCTACTGAGCACCTACTTTGCTGAGCAACCCATGAAGGGTTTTACTGTGCCAAAGTAACAATAATGCGCAGTATCTACAATCGTTTCTATAGATGAATAGTAAAGAATAGATGAAAAAGAAGATTATATAACGCTGAAGTGAGGTGGGAAATTCATAGTATTTTCGTTGTGATTTTTTAGTATTTTTTCGTTTTGTTGCTGTAATTGTTGTAATATGTATGACATGAAAAATAATTTACAATGTTTATTCACTAAATAGTAAATAAGATTTGTATTTTCTATTCATTCTATTTTTCATTTTTATTTCGTTTCAGTAAAATGTATTTTTCTTTCAAAGTAATATGTCATTTGCAATCACTGAGTATAAATATACATATAACAATATTTATGTTTAATGTTACAATTTAGTTTAAGAAAGACCATATATATATATATATATATATATATATATATAGTAATAACAGAAACAAACACGACCCACGCAAGGAATTCTTATTTGACGTAAAAAACCACCAAAACGCTTGGAAATCAAAGACAAAGAGGTAAGGAAGCTTCATTTAACCCAATAATATGGGGCATGAGCAGATGAAGGAAAGACTGTTATCATTAATGGCAGACACAGTGGCTACCATTGAAGCCACACATTTTTCACATAAAATAAAAATCACGAAAAAGACTGAGAAACATTCAAATGTTGTGTGTAACCTTACGTCGACCTTGGCAATGTAATAAAAGCCATTCCGGTAGTTGCAAAAAGAATACAAGAAAAATCAGTCGCTCCTTACAACATCCAGCAGATTGGAGTAAGCAGAGCGAAAGCAGAGCCAAAAATAAACAAAAGCAACACAACTTAGCAGAAGCGCGAAATATCACCGTAAAATACAAAAACATACTTCATCAGACAGCAAGCAGCAGCAGCAGCTGCTGTGTGAAAATGTGTATCCATACTAACTCCTCCAGATGTGTGTATGTGTGTATGGGTATGTGTATGTGTGTGTATGCCGCTATGTAGATATTATTGATTTTTTAAAGCAGTTTTTCTGCACCCCCAGAGATCATTTTTAATTATTATCTAGGAATTATATTCCTATGTACATTAGCTTAAGTAATGAAAGCACTAAACATTAAATTATAAATAAAATCTTTTCATCAAAAGGAAGCACATCGTCAAAAGTCAACTATTTTTGCAATTTTAATATTTTTTGTTAAATTAAACAGTAAAAGGTACTGCGAAAATAGCTTAATTAAATTTGTTATATTTTTCGATTACGAAAATATGTCAAAAACAAATTATTTGATTATATTACAATATAAATGATGAAGACAAATTCTTAGATTTTTTGCGTTTTACGAAACTTTGACTTCACTGGAGTAGCTAGACGCTCTTACTCTTTTGAAAGACCGAATGAAACTGGAATACAATACAAAATGTGTTATTTCCGAGTAAAGCCTTTTCTCTACATTGCTCACATCAAAAATACTGAATTCTATAATGGCAAGCTTTTAAAAAGCATTAACTGCGGCTCGCCACTACAAGTTTCAGTTTGAGTGTAAAAAATTTTCTTTTTAAATTCTTGTGTCCTACATGCTCCGCACGTTCTACGTTAAATGCAAATTACATTAAGTAATACATGCAAAAAATCGTATTTATTGATGAAGAAATAAATATTGTTAAATAATTTAAAAAATTTTCTTTTTCTATTATGTTTATATTATTAAAACATAATAATAGAAATATCTTTCAAAAGGTTGAATTTCTATATTAAATGGTTCAAAATAATAATATTATCATACATAATAGCTGATTACAAATATTACATTTACATATCAACCACTTACCTCAATATGATTCTCCATTAATAGTATATGACATTTAAAAAAATTTGAATATATATATGTGTAGTTTCATATACAATTTTAATTTTTAACAATTTCAATTTTAACAATTTTTAACAAGATATTTCATGACATTAATATATTTATTTATTTTCACGGCAGAGTGCACTACGTACAGTTTGTTTTCAATACAGCTGATATTAATGGCTTGTGAATAATTCAGTAAAAGTTCACACACTGAACAATCCATATTTTGAAGTTTTGTAAATAAGCGTCATTGTTGATTTTGCACGTTTCTTAGTTACTAATTATTAAGAGATTTTTATTCTAGAAAATTCATTAAACATTTAGAAAGGTATTATATTTAATTCTAAATACAATGTCGTCACAAGAAAACGCATATGATGGTATCTTATTGGCCATCGCTGAAAAGCATGATGGGTTGCCGCAGGTTTGCAAAATATTTAATTTAATACATATAAATTTTTTTTATATTGAAATTTCTTTGTTATACTCGATATAGTTTTTGGGAACTCTTGCCAGCTTTTTGCGCCGGAAATCAGACTTTTTTGTAAACGCAAAGCAGAGCGAATGGGAGAAGATGTTACTGGACACATTTCGAAAAGAGTCTGAAATTGCCAATGAGGCACATAAAGAGGTTTTAATGCAGCGAGAGGAGAAGGACCGTTTGAAAAAGGAAAAAGAATTGAAAGAACGCACCGCACGGAAGAAAGAAATTGAAACCAATAAAATTTGTGATATTACTGATAAGGAAGCAGCTGATATTATTAGGGAGGAGGAAGAGAAGTTCGTATAACTTTAACAACACAAACTAACAACATGTGATTGTTTAATATATAATTGCAGAAAACGTGAAAAGCTATTAGAAGCAGCATCTGAGAACGGTAATCCAATAGTGGTAAATGAAAATATATCAAAACCTATTGAAAAAGTAGATGATGAAAATGAAAAAAGTGAAGTTGGTAAATTAATGCCAAATTCTGGAAATGGTTGCACTCTTGAAAAATATGCTTGGACACAAACATTACAAGAAGTTGAGGTAAGCCTTTAATTAAATATATTTTACTATGATCTAAAGAAGAAATGCTTGTTAATGACAAAATTGTATATAAATCGTTACCCATGTTGAAATTATTATATAGGCAATGACATTTCTGTTATAATGTTTTCTGAAAAGTATATCTATAGTCCTTAATATATTTAACGCAAAAATAATAATAAAGCCTAGTATCATTTCCATTAACGCACGAAACATTGCCATAGCATTTCATATAAAAAAAACTTTTTATGCTGTCAAAATTTTGTGGAACATATTTTTTATAAGGAGCTCTATAATTATCTGTGCGTAATGGATGTTAGTACTAGGCAAAGAGCTAAAATAAAACTGCTTAAATTTGATTCGATTTAGTAGAATACCCTATTTAATAATATACGTGTACAGTATAATAATTAATATTTATCTGTAAGATTTGGAAAAAATCCAATAATATATACAAAAATTTATGTTTGAATAGCCAGCTTTTATGGCAACTTATAGCAGCTTTAGCGAAATTTTCACCGAATATTCTACTTTTTATTATTGATAAATAATATATATGGTAATAAAGACAGCTTCACCCAAATTAAATAAAACAACTTCAAAATAATTCTCAATAGTATTTTTCGGTTCCCAAATTTCAATAAAATATTCTTGTAAAAATGAAATTATAGTTTCAATTGCTAAGTAATTTAGATACATTTTAAGAATAAACTCATGTATACCTTATACGATCTGCGATACGTGCTTTCAGTGCGATCTTTAACAATTTTAATATATGGTATATAAGATTATACAACATAATGAAAAATGGAAGTCTTAAGACCGTAAATTTCAATTTTCCTTAATTATCTTGTTATGGGTATTCGCAGTTTAACAATACTTCCTGTACTGTTTTTGTATTGGTCACACTTTAAAACCATAAACTAATTAATGTTTATGATATAATATAATTATGCTAAATTTAATAGATCAGATAGAAAAATGGCGACGACCTAACTAATACGCATGACAAATATAATAATAACTTTAGCATCATATAAACAATTTAAGTTATTTTTTCAGCACTTGTGCGAATTGATTGATATTAAACTAGGTTTATAGAATATTTAAGTAACAAACATAAGTTTGCTATTTAAAATGTTTCATAAATAAATCCAGAAGGTTTTTGTTTATGAAGTTATGAATAGTTATGTTCTCTAGCAATTTAATATTGGTAATTTTCTTTAAAATATCAGTCTCTAAAAAAACTAAATTAATTACTCTTTTTATAATTAATAATAAAAAAAATTGTCACAAATATTTAAAAATGGCTCTGTAGAGATATTATATTGAAAAAAATTATGATAGGTCATTCCTTGTTACGAAAACTGAATGCCATTTATATTATTATGATTAAGCTTTTTCTATTTTGCAACTTTTTTGAAAACGAAAGCCGTCAATAATTTTATAAATTATTATTATTCTTAATTAACTGAAATTTTTGAGGTGATTTAGTCAAGTCTACCTTTTTGTATTAAAATGTGTGTTGAAACTAGTTTTTAGTTTTGTAAATAGTTGAATAAAACTATTGATAAAATTATATAAATTCTAATAAAAGTTATTTAGTTTTTTTTTCATGCCAGTCTGCATATTGTTTTTTATGTCAATCGTTATTTGATTATATTAGCTATTGTCTAAAACGCGATTTGATTTTTTTTATTATTCAATTCTTTGCTTTAAAATTTACAATATATATATTTGGAACGATTTCGATTTTTTGAACACGCCCATTATAGCTTTAATATATACACGAAGAGTGTATTTTTTTTGTTAATGTAACCGTTATAAAAACTTTAGAGCTCGACATCTCCAGAAGTGAGCTATATCGGTATATGGCGTAGTGGAAGAAGCTACGAATAAAATCCTGTTCAAAGGTAAATCGTTATAAATATGCTAATTATTGTATATTCAATTGAAAGTCTGTAACAATTGTAGTAATTTTTGCAACAAATTTTCTACAAATCGAAGATGCGATATGAGGCTTTGAGAGATCCAATTTAGATTATTGTCAGATGTAATTGTATTCAAGATCGGCTGAATATATCAGATATAACAATGATACAAAGATGCTTTATTGTAGTATCTTTATTGCTTGCTTCCTCTTCATGTTAGTAACATGTTATGTTAAACATGTCATGTTTAGGTGGAAAGCATCGAAATGCGCAGTGTGAGACTCGAACCCACTAAAACCGCCTCTTTGGAATGAATGGAGAAGATTTCCACATCAATGTGGAAACTTCATTCTAATAATCAGGGGAAAGACATGAGAATAGATAGGCTTAATACCTAGTGGACTAGGTTCATGTAAGCCAGAAAATATGGGCGTGAATTAGAGAGAATGTGTGATACTGAAGAGGGTGGGGTTACGGCTACTAAGCGGAGGTGAGATTAACGGTAAACTTTGTAGTCGGGGTCACGAAAGCTACGGATATAGAGAGGAATGACTTGGGGATTACGGTCCCATTCGTCGAAGTAATGGGATAAGTACTGAGGGGGTTTAAAGCGCAAGGCTTGAACAAGGTCTTCGTGGAGTTTAGTGAGAATGGAGGGGGTGGTCGCGAAACCGGGTGAGGTACTTACGGGCGAGTGAGACAATAGGTATTCGTCAACACGAGTGATTTTGGCATTGTCTTAAAGGACAGAGACGGGGAAGTTAGTCTTGCCGTTAGGCTTGAGAGGAAGTTTCCGCTCAAAAGGGCAGAAACTTCTTTCCATCTGATCGGAAGTGATTGCTGTTCAAATAGGGCATGCGTAGATGAAAAGGGGGACGAATAAGCTGGTTATACCAGAGCAGCTTAACATTGCAGTTAAGCTGATTATATCTTCGAAGTGCATTTTTGAGTTGAGTGTGCATGAACCCGGGTTACAGATGACATAGTTAATGTAAGGCATAAAGTTGTGTTGTGAGGAGAATACAATGCTAAGATATTTCAGCTTGAAAGCAAACTGAATCAGGGAATTGAAGGCGTTGAGCTTCATCTTCCACTTGTTATAGTAGTCAAAAAGGTACCCAAGGTGGGCATTAAGCTCATTAAAAATGCGGCAAGGATTGGACGACCTCATAAAGACAAGGCAGACGTCTGCGAAGCAAATTTGCTTGACAGGGGCCTGCGGGAAAAGGATGTCTGCTATAAACATGTTAAAGAGGAGGGGGTCAAGGACCGAGCCCTGGGGGACGCCGGACAGAGGAACCGGCACGAACCTGAAAGGTTTTGTTGAACAGAAATTTGTGGACCACACTGTGAGCGTTAGGGAGAAACCGAACTGGTGGAGCTTAAAAATTAAGCCTTGAAACCAGACGGTATTATGTTAAACATTAAACATGTATATAGCATATATATACGACTACAGAAGTTCTGAAGGCTTGTATTTTAAGCTGAAGTATATCATGGCAAACTTTGGTGAATGAGTACGCTACTTTTAAATACAGTACTCTTTATTTATGAACATATTTTTTGTATTTGCATTGTTTCATGATTTTTCTCAAGCCAAAAGAGGTAATCTGGAATGTTATTACTATGATGGGCTATGAAATATTTGACAATAGACGTTTATCAAACAGTTTTGAAATTTGAGATAGTAGATTAATTGGCCTTAACAATGTTGCAACTTAGTATTTTTTCGAATTTTTAAAGCATTTCTATATTTGTATTGAACATTCTTTTCACACCTTAAAGCTTCTGATAGAAATAATGGTTTAAAAAATAAAGATATCAAATGAAACTTTTTTTATCTGTTAGTTGCTTGAGGATTCTTCCAGAAGTTTCATCATACATTGAATTTTTCGGATGATGGGGGAGAAAATGTTTGAGCCTTGATACGGTCATCGTGGTGTGGCCGTTTTTCCATTCAATGGGCGTTTTTGATTTTTGGACCTGTAACCAAATTGTTTGCTTTATTTTTGCTAACCGGGTATGTACATATTCTCGTTCCGGGTTAACCATAAGCAGTCAATTATGTCATTTAATAATTAAATAGTTTAATTATCTATTTTTGGTATTTTAGTGCTAAGGTAATATAAAGTTAGCTTCTAACTTTTGAATGACATAGAAATGAGAAATTGCTGTTTTTTTTAAATTCTTTATTTGACATATCACAGGGATAAAACGTTGTAATTGTTACATTGTTACATTATTGTCTACAATTATTTAAAAATATACAATATTTTGTGATTGATGATTTTTAATTGTTTTTGTGATTTTGGTTGTATTTTTGTAATATCAAAACATAAAAATTTTTAATAAAACTCATGCCTGATATTTTCATTACCCTTCCTTTGTGGTTAACTGATTTTCTGCAGTTTATTTTTACATATATGTGTATGCATATAAAAGTATTGTTTATGAGGCATAATGAGTTGCTAGGTTTTTTCTGGAAATGTCTATATTTGTCTTATATATTTAATTTTTGAATGTGTGTCTCTACTTTTGTGTTTGTATTGTATGTGTGTTTTGTTTGTTTATCTATTTGTTGACTATGTGAAATAAAAATTGGTAAATTTAATAAAATAAATAACCTTATAATTAATAAATTGGCATAAACTATAACAAATATTTCCACTTAAAATTTGTATGAATACGTTTAAATAAATAAAATACGATTAACTATTAACTATATTAATAAATAAAATATTTTGATTCGGATGCTAAGCCGCCACTCTATATAGCTGTTCCGTTTGGCAACTTCACTTTTACCGCAACTTCACAACGAAACCTTTTTGAGGTTGTGATTGCGAGTAAAGCCTTTTCCAAGCCTTCTTCATTGTTTATGCTGTTGTATTTGTTAACTGTGAGGCATGACGCGTGCCCGCACTGAAAGTAAAAAATTCGAATTGAAATTGAATTAATGGATTTTCATGTTTATTAGTGTGTGTTTAACTCACTTTCAAGTGCATAAACCATGCCCATGATAAGTAACATAAATACTGTACTCATGCTGATAATCAATACTGTCACTTGACGACCACGATCGCAAAGGCCGCGCTTCGGTTTCTTTGCGGCGTTGCCCTCGCCGTTGACCATTGTAAAGTGCATTGAGCTCGCTATGGAGACAGTGTCAAGTTCTTTGGTTTTGATGAAATCCAAATTGGGATCAATTTCAATAATAGCGTCGTCGTTGTCGTTGTGGTTGCTATAACCGTAATTATTGTAATTATGTGTTTTATGTTGTTGTATGCTACTATGTCTGCTGTTGTTCTGCTGATGCTGTGCTGCTGTTATTGCGTGTACCAAATTTGCATTGTAAGTAGTATTGATAGTGGGATTGGTGCTGCGATTGTTGTGCATATTGTTGTGCGGCAATTGCTCCAAATATAATTTATTTTGCTTTTGTTGCTTTTTGTGTATCTCTGCGAAGCGTTCTAAATTCGCTGCTGTTAATAGCAATGAACCAGATGCTGCGCTCTATAAAGTAAAAGAAAAATTTCAAATTATTTTACTACTTAGGCAATGTAAAGTAGAGTAGTTGTAACTTACTCTTGTACTATTATTGCTATCACTTGACCCCTGTGAAGAGCGTGAACCTCGCTTTGCTGCCGCTAGGACTGCGGCTGCAGCGGTTGCAGCATCAGTAGTGATGGGGCTTGTATGACTGCTGGAATGCGTTGCTGTTGGTTTCTTTGTGGAAGTGCCGACGTTTGCTTGGCCTCGAGCTGCTTCCATAATACTGCCGACGAAATATGTGTTGTATGTTGTATTTGATTCGTATGCACGTGATTGTCTTGTGTTGGTGCCTTGCGCTCTGCCATTCGGTATAAAACGTTCACGTTTTTGGCCATTATTTGCAGACGACGTCGTTGTCGTAAGATTATTGGCATGTGTTTTGCGTTTTGCGACCGTAGGCGGGTTCGAATGTGATTTGTTGCTGCCATTTGATAAAGATGCCGATGAGGCGCCTGATGACGAGGACGACGCTAGAGAAGCGCGCGGTATATGCCAGTAATCATTCATCTAAAAAACAAGAAAAATATTTGTTTTATACTTCAATTGTAATTTTATTGTTTTCAAAATGCTTTCCTTAAAATTTAAGTTTTAATAAATTGTTAAAACTAATTTTTTTAATCGTTTTCTTTAAAATATGTTCACGTTTTTGGTGATTTCAGTTTATAAAAATGTGTTTGTTTTTTAGTTTATTGAATAATGTGCTTCCCCTGTTGAACTTCTCAAGTTATTTTTCAGTAGTTATTTACACTGTTTTTGAATAAAGTGTTTTGTTTGGTTTTTGGCAAATAATCAAAAAATCACTTTTTAACAATTATAACAAATAACTACTAGCAATTATTTCAGTTATTAAGTCAATATATATATACATTATTCGAAATTTCTTTAGCATTTCTTTATATTGTAACAATCTTTATATTGTGTATTGTAAATAATTATTGATACATTAATTTTTGTGTAATTAATTACTAAATAAATTTTATTATTTCACTTTTTCACACTTTAAGTGATCCCCGGTTGAAAATTTTATTTCCGTGATATTAGGATTACAACAATAGGAAATAATAGGAATAATGTGTTATTTTTAATAGTTATTAATTTCATATATTATAATTAAAGCTTTAAAAATGGGCGTGTCGACATAAATACATTTTAATCTGTTATAAAGTGTTTAAAGTAGTTATCACTGTTGGTTAATTAATTAGCTTAAATGACCTGTCTTCAGTTATCATTAAGTACCAAACAAAATGCCTCCATTATATTTAGCCTAAAAGCTATTATTAAGGCTTTAAATTAATTTACTTATTATCTTCAAAAAAACATTTTTAAAAATATGATTTTTATATGTTTGTGAATTTTTTTCTTTGGTCCAGTTGAAATGTTTTTGGTTTGTCATTTCCACACGAACCATAATTCGCTATAAAGATAAGTAGCGATTCGAAAAGAGTTTGTTGCTTAAGTCTTTTAACTTGTATTGGCAACTGTTTAACTCTGTCTCTTTGGATGATGTTTTAGTATAAAGATATTATTGCAAAATAGTAATAACACCAACGATTTAGATATTTATATGGAAAAAAGTTGATTGAATTATTTGTAAAAGTATATAATATTTTTAATAATTTCATTAAATAAGATGTTTTAATATTTTTCAATGGACTATTTACTTATCTCAACTCCATAGTTTATATTTTTACAGTAATTTATAATTGTTCTAAAATAATAGTATAAAACCATAAGGATCATATAGGATCATTTCTGGTTCAATATTCTGTTTGTATTTAATGAATTTTGAATTAATTAATCATTTGACCAATAAATGCTAGAGTTTCTGGAATTATTTTTTAATAATTGTTTTTAAATGATTTTACACACTTTGGTGAAGTGATTCTGTTAAGAATTTTAGCATTTTAAGTCGTTGACAAAAAACTTGTTTTAAGTTTTTTTTTAATCTTGAAAGATTTTATTATTTGCATATTTTAGAATTTATTTTATTGAATTCTAAATTTTTTTCTTTGTAAAAAAATAAGAATTTGAATTTAAAATCTTGATATCCACACCTTTTTCTTTTTGGTTACGTTAGCTTATTATACTAATTTTAGTATATAATTTTGGATTTAATTGTCTTTTTTTATTTGTGATACTGTTAAATTATTAACTTCAATTTCATTTAAGATAAATGATTTTAGATTTTATTTTTTTTGCTAAATTATTAGTTTTAAATTATAATTTTGCAAATTTGTCAAACTCTAATTTGTTAATTGATAATTGATTTTACTTATGTGATTTTGATTTGTTATTAATCTAAATAAATTGTTCTTTTTGATTTGAATTAAGTTTTGGTATTATAGTTTCTTTAGTTGATTATTTTTTTTTCTCAGTGTTCAAAATTGTCTCAAAAATAATAATTTTTGTTTATAGTCGCATTTATTTTACCTTTTGTATGCGGAAGTTCTTGCCTAAAACTCGTTTTTCAAAATGTTTTTCGAAATAATAATAATAAAAGAATTAAATAAAATTTAAATTACATTTATTGCGTTTATGTTTTTTTTTACTTACATTTACAAAATAATTTATTAAAATAAGTTATCACAATGTTTGAGTATGTTTCAATCTTAACTGGTTTTAAATTGGGTAATTTGCGGCTTAATTAATTGACGTTCGGCCGCTTTAGTTTATTATTTTATTATTTTCTTGATTTATTTTATTTATTTAATTTAAAAATTTGTTTTGTTTATATTTGGCATTAATATTAATATATGTCTTACAGATTACCAAACAAACAATATATCACAATTTTTAATGCAATGTTTAATATTTTTTTAATAAACTTTAAATATTTCAAAAATAATTTGCATTTGTCGCTTCTTGATGCCTACGAAAAATCTTGGTTCTTCTCTATATTTTTGACTTAATTTAATGAAAGTGGTAGCGACTTTAGTATAATTCTTCACTAATTTCAATTGCTATATTCTCTAAATCCACTTCAGAAAACACATCGTCGTTTCATGAACTTTGTGAGTGTGCGATTTAGCAACAAGCAAGCAACAGTGTCCGTTGTTCGTAGTTCCGTAATTTCGCAATGTAGAACCGATCTATCCAACACCAAGAATCAAACTGATCTTAGCTCGCACGTCAAGCACTGCCTTTTGTTTGGCTAGACTTATTAAATTTCGGTATTGTAGTCGACAGGTTACTTGGGTTGCTCACTTTTGCCGGATATTTTCAGTTTGTGTGCTTTTTTTTTGTTTGTTGCTGTTGCTGCTGACGCTATATTGCTGCTGTCTCAGCTTCTGGTTCAACTTTTGTTATTTTGAGGCGTTTTCTGCTATAAGTTTTATTACTATTATTATTACTATCAGTTGTTTTTTCTTTTTTTGTTTTGTTTTTGTTTTTTACTGTGCTTAAACTTACATCGTGCATACGGTTATTGGCCACGTTCATTTGAATTCTGTTGATTATGTTAAGTTAGGTTAAGCGGTCGTTCAATCGTTCAATCGATCCATCGCCTCATCGATGGATCCGTTGGTGTGCCATCGATCGCTTGTTTGTAAAATGTGCCCATTGTTTTGTATGCGCATCAATTGACACACGTCTCGCACGATTTTCGGCAAGTGTTTTTATTAGAATTTTGCTTGAAGACAACTACTTGTAAAGTATTTCTTAGTTGAATTATACCATGTGAAAATAGAAGAGATCTTATATTTGTTGTAGTTTTAGCACTTTAAACTACCATAAAACGATTTATGGTTATTTTATTTATTATATTAAACAGAGTCACATTTTTATGGTTGCTTGGATTCATTTTGCATTTTTATTAAGTTGCCGATGGTGCAGCAATGTTACTGTTTGAGTTATAGTTTGTTTTTATATTAATTTTTTAATTATACAATAAATTATAATAAAAAATTTTTTATTTATATAAATAATTTACTTAATTATACAATCATCTTATTTATATTAATGTGCCTTAAGTTCGATTTTAAGTGAATTAGATAATATCACTTAATATCTCTGTAATGAGTGAAATTGTATTTCGTTAAAACATACAAATATCTACAAACTTACTTAGTAACAAAGACATTTTCATTGTTTAGGTTAATTAATTTAGTAAATAATATTGATAAAATTAAATATTTTTTTTATTTAAAATAAAAATTTTTCTCTTTTAAAATGAATTTCAAAAATAATTATAATAATAAGTAAAACATAAACATACGTTTCTATGTAAAATTAACAAATGATTTTAATTTTTAATGCTTTATTGTCTTAAATGTGATATATGAAGTAAATATTCTGAAGCTCCTTATTAAAGGTTATATAATAAATATATAATAAATAATGTTATTCATTAAAAAATTGAATTAAATTTTTAAACAGGCTTTTAGAATGGAAGTAGATGGCTTCCAAGTATGTTAAAATGTTTTGTAGAGCAATAGTGTTTAAATTTAAAAAAATTACATTTTATAATAGTTGAGTGATTTTATTGGCTGTGGTAGCTGTGGTTTATGCTTTAGTTCTAAAAATACTATATGAAGTGCAACTACTATTGACAAATGTACAACAAAAATTGACACAAAGTGAAATTGAAATAACATAAATTAAGTGTACATTAGCTAGGACAACACAATATTTTTGAAACTTCCAGTGCAGATATTATATATGGACAAATATATTTATCTATCAATAAATAGATAATAATAAAATGCGGTTATTTTTGTTTTTTAAAATATACTAACTTTTATTTCGAAATTTTATTCGAAAATTTAGGAATTCTCCTGATGAAGGCAAAAGCGAATTTGCCGAAACACGTGTAGAGATACACAAAAAAACTTTCGAAATAAAAGTTAGTATATTTTAAAAAACAAAAATAACCGCATTTTAACATTTTCGAAGTAACGACTCAAAAATTAAAACAAAAATAGATAATAATAGATTATAACTCAAACATAGTAGGAATGAAGGTTTTGATAGGGTAAAGTACCGCTAGCATACTAAATTTTTTTAATAGAAAGGACCCTAACCGAGCAGAAGACGTGCGATCCCTCTTTGTAAAGTTTATAATACCAGAAGAGAAGAAAAGCATCCTTCTTCTGGCTAAGATATAATAACTGTATAGTTCAGTTACAAAAAATGTAACTAGAAGTCGAGACAAACATTTTAGTAATTCAGACAGACTCATCTTGTTGAGCTAGAGACATGTCTTTGTCATTACAAAAACGAGCCAGCCAAATTAGATATAAATTGAAAATACTTTATGATAAAAAAAATTTCTGAATCTGTAAGTATTTTTTTGTTTTAATTTGGAGTTAATCATTTTTAATTCAGCTATTCACTTTGCCTTTGTGTGTTTTCATAGGTGTGCAGTTTAAATATATATAATATGTATATATTTACTGCTTTACTGTACTTTGTTTAATTTATTGAATATTAAAATGTGCTAGTATAAGATTACGATCAATTAATATCACATTTCATTCAAACGTCAGAGATGAAATTTGATTGAGTCATCA